GTTGCGTTTATCAGCTAGGATGTTTGCCCTGTGGGGCAGGTCTAGTTTGGTGGGTTTGGGCTTTAAAATCTAGCAAGCACCCAGAGATATTCATAATTTTCACATCCCATAAACGCTTCTAGTCTTTGGGGCAACATATTGCCAGCTCCAATCCCGTCCCACGAGATGGAGACTGGCTGGCTCAGGGAGTGGGAAATGGGACAAGGGGCCTTTCTCCTCCAGGAGCGCCAGCCCTGATCCAGCCCCAGGGTGGGGGGCTGTCTGGCTCAGGTGTGGGGGGTGGTGCATTTCTTACCCCAGGTTGCAGTTACAATGAGCCGCCGTCACCACCACATCCTCTTGGATCAGGAACCCTCCACAGCTTCCCGTTGACCCGATTTGCACATAGGCCATGTAGGGTCTGGAGCCAAGTGGGGGTTCCTGGCCCCCGATGACCCGAGCTGCAGGGAGACAGGGAGGGGTTCAAAAGGGAGCTGGAGAGTGGGACTAAGAGCCAGGGTGGGTGCAAGGATGTTTCACGCCCTAGGCGAAACTTCCACCTTGTGCTCCCCCCCCCGAGCCCCGTGGCAGCTCTCCATCCCCCCCACCCTAGGGTGCCCCCCCGTGGCAGCTCTCCACCCCCCCCACCTGGAGGCGCCCCCCTACGGTAGCCCTCCCCTCTGCGGCAGCTCCCCCCGGCCCGGGGAGCCGTGTGGCAGCTCCCTGCCCCAGCTCACCTCTGCTCCGCCTCCTCCCCGAGCACGCCGTCACTGCTCCACTTCTCCCACCTCCCAGGCTTGCGGCACCAATCAGCTGTTTGGCACCGCAAGCCTGGGAGGGAGGGAAGCAGAGTGGGGCGGTGTGCTCAGGGGAGGAGGTGGAGCAGAGGTGAGCTGGGGCGGGGAGCGGTTCCCCTGTGTGCCGCCCCCCTTTACTTGCTGCAGGCAGCCCTCCCTGCGCCCCCATGCCCCAGCCCCCTCTGCCGAAATGCCGACGAGGACTGGGGCGGCCAAAGATCCGGCCGCCGCCGAAGAAAATGCCGCCCCGCAAATGCTAGTGCCCTAGGCGACCGCCTAGGTCGTCTAATGGGTTGCACCGGCCCTGCTAAGAGCCCAATGCAACCCAGATCCTCATCCCTTAGCTCAGCCCCCTCTTGGCCTGGATCAGCACCTTAGGCCCCCCCCAGCCCAGCCTGCCCCTAAGTCACCCCCTCTCCCCAACCGGCCTGGTAAATCCCATACATACACGTACCCACTGCACATCTACCTATTCCCACGTGGACCTGTCCATCCTTCCATCCATTCTTTATCCCATATACGCCCATCCATATTCTGGAAGTGGAGCCACCCCCTAGCCATCTCCCCTCTCAGAGAACTAGGTCAGGAATTCCCTATCTCCCCTCGGCCTCATTGTCACTTCTCCTGACACCTGACTGAGCCCGATGGCTAATTCTATCCCCCTGCCCTTGGTGTGGGTTGCGCTGCCCACAGCCCCAATCTGCCCGTTCTCACCACTAGAGCCGGGCAAAAATTTATAAGGAATTAGCAAATTTGCTTTAAAAAAAGTACCTGTGAATTCAGGTAGAATTCAATAGGTTGTTTTGGCTACAAAGAAATGATTATTTTTTTCCAGGAAACAGTAGAAAAGTTTTGTTATGAGCAATGGGGAATGAAACATCTTGAATTTCTGTTTGAAATGGTGCTTCCTTTAGAAATGGAGCAAATTGGCTTCTTTTAAACTAATTTTGTTAAAAGTGATTAAACCCCCCTCTAAAGCGACCTGAAATCAAATGAAAAAGTACCCCCCGAAAATTGTTTTGAGTTGAAAGCAAATGAAAAAGTAAAAACAAAAGCAATCCATTTTTGTTTCAAAATTGCATTTCAGTTCAAAACTCAGCTAATTAAAAATAAGGGTGAAAAACACCTGAACAGGTCCCATAATGAAGCCAAAAATAAAAAAAAATGCTTCAGGTGGAAGGAGACACCACAAAGCAAACAATTCCCCCCCCCTATTTGTTTTGAAACAATGTCTTTTTAGGGCATCTGCGAGAAAAAATAAACAAACTAATTTGGGGAGGGACCCAGCTTTTTCCCAGTTTTTACGATTCGGCCCCTGAACCAAAAACTCTGTGACTCGCTCAGCCCCACTCTCAGTGTGAGTCCCCCGGGGCCGGGAAATAACCAGTCGCTCGGCTCTACTCACCATTATGAAGTGGGATAAAGACCGTGGAGAGCAGGAGCAGCAGCAGCATCATTGGTGCACATCCAGGAGCTGGGGCTGGTGGCTCTGTCTCAGCCCCCGGGGTTTACATACAGCGGGCAGCGGGGAGGGGAGGCTGGGAAGAGGTGACCCGGGAAGTGCAGGGTCACGTAGCCGGCTACCAAGAAATTTCCCATCAGCGATGTGTCAGGGGTGGGGATTCCCTGGGAGGAAACCTTGAGCCACATCTGCTCCCGCATCCCGGGGAGGGAGGGGGAAGTTTCCTTCCTGCACTGGTGCCCTCCCTGCCCCCAGCTGCGGACATGGCCAGTGCTGAGGCCTCCCAGCTGCAGATGGCAGAATCCCCCCATGTCTGTTCTGCCCCTGGATACCTGGATCCCCAGATGTTCAGGCCAGCAGGGTCCGTTCAACCGACCCGTCTGCCCTCCTGAGTGACCCCGGCCGGAGAACCTCACCCAGCTCCCCCGGACTGAGCCCGGGCACTGGAGTTCTGTGAATGCCTCTCCCAGCAAGGCAGCCAGGCTGGGTCTGACACAACACGGAGATGGAGAAACCCCCCTGCTCTGGGGAGCTGGTTCCCATGGTCATTCCCCTGCACTGTCCCACACTGGGCCTTCTATTCCTGCTGAATTTGGTCAGGTTTCAGTTTCTCCAGTTGGATCTTGTTCTGCCTTTCCCTGCAGGATTGAAGAGCCCCCAGCAATCAGCTTTGTCTCCCCATGAAGGTCCTTGTACCCCGAGTGCCAGGCACCTCCCCCGTGACTTGTGGAGAAACCAAACAGAGTGAGCATATTCAGTCTCTCCCTGCCAGGCATTTTCTCCAGCCCTCCAATCATTTGCCTGGCCCCATCCTGCCCCATCTCCAGTTTGCCGCCAGCCCTTTTAAAGTGCACACCCCAGAACTGGGCGCAGGATCCCCGGATCCCCCAGGAAACACTCCTCCCTGCTCTTGCTCAACATGGCCTTGTTCACATGGCCAAAGAGGGCACTAGCCCCTGGTGCTGCAGTGTCATATGGGGCGCTCGGGGCTGGGGGGTGTTGTTGGGTCAAAATAACATTTGGCTGGAGAATTCCGCACCAGTTGGGATGGGAGAGAAGCTGCTTTAGGAAGGATCCTGGTTCTCTTGGGGTTGGGTCTGTGGGGCACCGAGGACACCAAAGGCAGAATAAAAATCCCTCAGCAAATTCTGCCTCCAAGAGACACTGTAGGGCCAGGTTTTAAATAAAGCTCAGCCCCCAAAGGCTGACTGGGGTCTCAGCAGCAGTGCAAGTCCATAATCTATCCATCCACACACTCCCCACCACTCTCTCTCATAGTTTATTTCATTAATTTGTTTGTTGATGTTGATTTAATTCTGTGTAAGTGTTTCAGGTGAGGTTGGGCGAACTACGGCAGCTGGTGCATCAATGTTGTGAGTGTCATTTTTATAAAGGAAAAGCCCATCCATCCATCCACCCATCCCCGCCTATCCATCCCTCCATCCGTCCATCCATCCCACCTATCCAAACCCATCCCCGCCTATCCATCCCTCCATCAGTCCATCACTCCCTCCATCCCACCTATCCAAACCCATCCCCGCCTATCCATCCCTCCATCCGTCCATCCCTCCATCCATCCCACCTATCCAAACCCATCCCCGCCTATCCATCCCTCCATCCGTCCATCCCTCCATCCATCCCACCTATCCAAACCCATCCCCGCCTATCCATCCCTCCATCCGTCTGTCCATTCATCCATCTGATAGGATATAGATATTCAGGCCTGTCTGCAAAGGCCTATACTTCAAGAATGTAGGTGTATTCTTATCACTTAGCTAGTTATAGAGGTATAAAAGAAAGAATCAAAATCACTGTCTGCCGGTGTAAGGGCCTTCTCTCACTGTGACAGTCTGAGGCCCTGTTCTTAGGCTAAGCAAGACCTTTGGCTAAGTAGCAGAGGCAACCATAAACTGGGAAGTGAACGGTCACATCCTCACATTCCAAACTAGTCACATTGAAATAAGGCAATCTGGGGCTGTTAGAAAGGTGATCCGATCTATCACTCCAGAGAAAGGGAAGAGCCTAAAAGATTTAAAGAAAACGTAGTTTGATAGGTGGGGTGTACAATCCTCATTTCTGTATTGTTCTATCACTGTAGTCTCTACTTCCCTATTGTTTGTCTGTATAACACTGGTCTACAATTTTTGAGAAGTCGTCTGCTTCAGAGATAAAATGTGCTATTTATTATATATTTTGATGTGCTGAATTCAAATATGACAATTAAAACAACTGATTGGCTACTGTTTCTAAGATATTTAAGTTTTTACATTTTATGTCTATGTATATTGTGTAGATAGTAGAGTTTTAATCATAAATTGTAAACCTAGGTCTTTTCATGTGTTTATGGTTGCTTTACATGATAATATTTCACCTGTCC